ACTCTGTCCACCCAGTCCCATTCAGTCCTGCTTCAGAGCAGAGCGGCAACATATAGGGTGGGATACAAAGTACAGGTGTATTCTAGTCACACCTATGCCATGGGATGGTATGCCCCTCCACGTCTGCAGTGTCCAATACATTTGGCCGCACTAGCACCACGGGAGGGAGTTTGAGACAGCTGACTTGCAAGCGTGATCTACCAGCATTAGCTTTGGAAAAGACTCATAGATCGCGATCGACCTAATGGACACCCCTGCCTTAGTACTACCCGAAGATAAAGGGTAAATTGATGATAAATTTTGGCGGTGTATTGGTTCACCAGGTCACATTTTGCATATATTTTTGGATTGCCTGATGATGGTTAGACTCTTTTGGTTAGCAGTCATCCATATCATTCTAATGGGCATTGACCTTGCCGACAACCCAGTGGCCTGTCTTCTGCACATCACTCCAATTTCCAAATCTCGCTCTTGCAAGTTGTTGACCGTTCCCCTTTTAAATGCAGCTAAAGCCTGTATTTCTGCTCTCTTAAAAGGCTAGACCCCCTATGCTCTCCCAGTGGTTTTCTAGAGTAAATTACACAAAGTTGATGGAAGATCTTACTGCTAGCATTAGAGGTAGATCGGATCTCTTTCACAAAACCTGGTTTTATTGGTTGCAATACAAAGACTACCAAGAATACTCCTTAGCTATGCTGTCTCAAGATGCAGATTCACAAGACTACCAAGTTATTTTTCAATGTCAGATATCTTTTGACGCAGAACCTGCCTCTGCTATCCAAATGTTCCCTCTTGTTTTCTTTGTGATTTCTAACATTTGCTTTTACCTTCTCCCTCTTTTTTTCTCATTCTCTATTCCTTAAACCCCTTTCTTTCTTCTGTTCTATTCCACACCTAAACGTAGCATGAGGATATACAATGGGTTTATTCAATTGGTCAAAGAGATAGCAGTTCTGGTGCAGGATTGTTGTAGTAGCAGTCATGATCTTACATTGGTCTCATAGATTCATTGTTTATATATTTTAAAGGCGATCTGAAATGTTTAACTGCTGTCAATGTTTGATTTTGTCTTGCGCAATATTAGATTTGCATTTTTTTTTACTGTGCGCCAATGGTTATGTATGAGGCTTTTTGGAAGGATGTCTACCTCCTAGGTCGAGTTATATTCTTTCTGAATTGTACATACTTTGAGCTTCATGGACAAAAAAAAAAAAAAAGATGATTTAAATGCTCCTGCAATCAGACATATAGCGGATCTTACCAGCTCCCTTAAGGACACTTTGTCCAGGTTAATTTCCACCTGCTATTACTGAATCGATTTTACAGTGACAGAGGAATACAAGAGCATCATGGGATCTTGAGCGGTAACATTTGCTGTCCCTCTACAGCTGTTTTTGTCTTTTGTTTTTTTTTCCTTCTGGTTTTTCTAACCTCTCACTTCCTGCCCTTTTTCCCCCTCATCATCTTTTCCCCTGCCGTACATTTCCCTATCCTTATCTCTTTTCCCTTTCCCAACCCTATAGTCGATCTACATCCTCATATAACATCTCTCATTATTCACATGAGTTCTTTTAATATTTACAGTTATACAGGTGTTAAAGGAGCCCTGTTGGTACTTTTATAGCACCTTACCCTACTACTTTTTTCGTTATAATCAGGTCTAAAGTACATCAATATGACGCTACCTAAGTACACATGAAACTCGAATAATAAGAATATCGTGCAAAAGTTCATTTATTTCACTAATGCAACTTAAAAGGTGAAACTAATATATGAGATACTCATTACATGCAAAGCAAGATAATTCAAGCCGTGATTTGTCATAATTGTGATGATTATGGCTTACAGCTCATGAAAACCCCAAATCCACAATCTCAGAAAATATTATGCCACCACCGGCCCTGGGAATGGTCACAACTAGGTCTTATTTTCGGGTAAACAGGGTATTAGTTTCACCTTTTAGGTTGCATTAGTGAAATAAATGAACTTTTGCGCGATATTCTAATTATTCGAGTTTCCCCTGTAGTTCTGTCCTTTTTTGTACCAAGTCCCTTTCTCTTGCTCCTTGTGTGAAGGTTCCCTGAATGATCTTTGTGGCTCTTTTTGTGATATAATTTACTTACAATTTGTTAAAGAAATTAAAAATGCTCCTGCACAGAGGGCAGTTATGATAGCATTGTGGGTACATAAGTGCAATGATAACTAAATTAACTTACATTGGATATGAAATATCAGATGAAGAAAAGAATAAAGGAACAGCACAGAAAGGGAAAACTGATAACATCCATTGTGACATCATTTCATGTTTTGAAAGAACAACTGAATCAATACTTGAGTGCTCATAAGGATAATACAGATTTGCAAGTAACCCATAGCATTAATTATACAGCTATAAGGGGGGGGAAAAACATTTTTAAAAATATATGTTTTCTATTTACTTGGATAAAGTGCATTTTATTATTGTGCAAACACAGCAAGTGGAGCTTTTGGCTCCTACACACATTTATCTCAATCCATTCATAGCTTCATGAGCTTGCAATTTACCAAAAAGGTGTATTAGAAAGAGCAATGGCTCCTTCCGGAGGGTTAGTGGCTTATCAAATGGTTTAGTGGAAGGTTTCACTCCGACAAACAGAGGCCTAAAGCAGGGAAAGCTTGCTGTGCGCGTGTTTTTTTTTTTTTTTATTTTGCCCACAGTGAATAAATAAAATGTACCTTAAATAATTAGTTTTCTTTTGCAAAGCCTGACCTGGGTATTCTAAATATGAGAGTGATTTGTATACTTTATTATTATCCTCATAAATAGCTAAAGGTCCAAATCAACATGTCTTATTGATTTTGAAGCCTTTTGGATGAAAACCCTAGATGAAGGCTTTAAAGGCTTGCCAAGTGCAGCAAAGTTTTAAATCTCCAGTCTCATTATTATAAAAGTATATTTTGAGTTTGTCTTGTATTTTTAATTTCTATATTTAATATTTACTACCCAGATCCATCATCTCCACGTGGCCTGAGACCTCATCCTATTAAATCATAGTATTCCAAAAAAAACACAAGTGGTAGTGATGGGGTTTTAAGAGGCGTCAGACTTTCATTACAATTTCATAAAAATCCATAGATTACAATAAAATCATAGATGCTTGATTATTTCCCCAGTTCTTGCCTGATTATCAGATTTGTACATCTTGAAAATGGATTTGCAATTGATCCCCAGGTTTTAGATTCTTGCTTCAATTTCGCTTAAGAAGCACATGAGCGAAACGCACTGGAAACTTATGAATCACTGAATCATTATTATTGGAAAGAATATAATAAGATAAGATGAAAAACATATATGGACAATTGTAATCATGTATACTATGTACAAATGTGATAATCAGGCAAGAAATGAGGAAATAATCATGCTTCTATGATTTTAATGTAATCTATGGATTTTTATGAAATTTGATAATAAATTTATATGAAATTGTAATGAAAGTCTGACGCCTATTAAAACCCATTACTACTTCTTGTCTTTTTTTTTTTGAATACTTGTATTTCTAATTTAATTTCCTAGTTTAGTAGTGAATTTATTCAACCTTCATCGTTAAATGTCCTCAAAAGAGCTAGAAAAAAAAAATACGAGGCATCGGGTCTGTGCCCAGACAGGTAGCAAAAAATAGGGTAGCAAAAAATATAAAACTTCTCAAGATCTGATTTCCAATTTTGGACATGAAGTTAGAATTAATTGGTAGCTGTTTAGAAACAATCAAATTCTCATTGTAATATGTAAAATATATAAACACAATGTAATCCATAATAAAATGTTTTATATTACAGCAGGTAGGTGAAGAAAATAGTACATAAATGGTAATCATTTGCATGTGTTAGGGGATCATTAGTATGCACAGTGGCCAGGTGATTGGTTAGATGTGCAAAGACACTGGAAGGAAAAAGGAAATATACCGTAAAAAAAATGCAAGGAATGAGACAAGGAGGTACAATTGCCAAGCTTTTTCTGATCCTGATTTGACTGTTACACAATACTACTACTTTAATTTATGAGGAATGCTAATATTCCTAGCAATATATAGTAGCCAGGCAATTGTTCTCAACATCTGGAGGGTCACAAAATGCCCAGCAAAGGACCTCATTTTCTCAGCTATCATTCCCATTGCTAGATGCAAACCAACTCTATGTAAATTTGTATACAGTATTTGCTTTATAAAGCCTGGCTTACTTAAAAGTATCAATTCTGTCACTAATTACCCTTGAGGAATTTTATCAATCATTTAATTATCCACCGTTTAAACTAAGTTCCTTTGGACAAGGTTCTAATTGCTTATATCACTTAATCAGTAGGTTATAATATTATTAAAGCCCTTATGTTCTTACTTTGTATCGTCCAACAGAAGATGTTGCTTCTATCAAAAATAATCACACTGAAGAACTAGATGTTTTATTAACACTTGTAAATATACTTCGACAGTGAAATTAATTTCTGTCCACAGTTTAAGGGCAAGAACTGTACTTTTTGTTACTGTACAAAATAATAAAGCCACTGGCTTTTCATGATCAGTCCCAAATACCAAAAGGCCGTGGCTTGAACATAAAACACAGTGTAAGCATAAAACAAAAGTATTTAAAACAGGGATTGGCAACCTTTGGCAATCAAGCTGCTGCTGACCAACAGTGGGTCAAAGAAAAGAAAAGAAATCAGAGAATTCGCTTCAGGCACAGCCGAGTACAAGAAGTTGCCCATCCCTGACATAGACATGTCTACAAGAACAAACAGATAAATAGATGAAAGAACAAAATGGCATTAAGATACTAGAGATACTACTTCCAGGCAAGGCATGCTACAAAAACAGAAGAATAATATCTTCCAAAAACAGGACAATAAAAGACAAAAGCAAAGACAGCACAGCTAATAATACAAAAAAAAAGTGTGACATTACAGAAGAGAAAAGGGGGGAAGAAAGACAGCTAGATGATTGAAAAGCGAAAGAAAATACAGAACATACCAAATCTAGAACAGAGATTGCTGGCATAGCAGTCTGCTGCAGATAGCAAAGAGGAGAGGGGGGGAAAAAAAAAAAGATGCTAAGTGGAAAAAAAACATTAAACTAGTATTTTCAATAAGCAATGTCTCTGATGCTCCAGCCATTTGAATTCCCATGCACCTAAGAAGTAAAAGAAATAAAACTGCAGCACAATGCACAAAAGAAATGCATAAGGTAAAAGGAGGAAAGCAAAAGCATGTAAATAAACTGTGAAGAGAACTTATTTATATTAGAAAACAATCCACACACAGCAATTTTTTTCCAGCACATGAATAAATTAATATCATTACTGCAATTCTGTAGCCTTAAGTATATGCAAAAAGTAACTATTCAAAAGTGACACTAAACTCAGGAGTTAAATCTCAAAACTGCATTCAAGTACTTAAACTATTAATTTTTTTTAGCTCATCTGTGCATCACTCAGCTGTACATCCTTAAACCTAGGGATGCAGCTAACGATTATATTCATAATCGATTAGTTAGCCGATTATTAAGTTCGATTAATCGGTTAATCAGATAATAAAACAATAAAAAAAAAGGCTCCAGTGATGGACTACTAGTTTCTATTGAGATTATAGTCCATCACAGGAGCAAGCATGGCGCAGTGGAAGTAAAAAAGAGTGTGGTGTGCAATATAGTACATTATACAGCGGCGCAGTGCAGAATACCCGCAGCTATAGAGGAATGTAGCAATAGTACATTATACTATAATGTACTATTGCTGGGATTTGTAGTCCTCTGTAGCTGGGGTTATTCTGCAGTGCGCTGTATAATGATTATACGGCGAAATGCAGAATACCAGCAGCTATAGAGGAACACCAAATCCCAGCAATAATACAGGCTGTTTAATATATTATTGTTGGGATTTGATGTTCCTCTATAGCTGCTGGTCTTCTCCATCCTTCTGCATAATGTATTATTGCTGGGCTTTGTTGTTCCTCTATAGCTGCTGGTCTTCTCCATCCTTCTGCATAATGTATTATTGCTGGGCTTTGTTGTTCCTCTATAGCTGCTGGTATTCTGCATTTCGCCGTATAATCATTATACAGCGCAATGGAGAATACCACCAGCTATAGAGGACTACAAATCCCAGCAATAATACAGGCTGTTTAATATATTATTGTTGGGATTTGATGTTCCTCTATAGCTGCTGGTGTTCTGCAGTGTGTCACTGTATTATACAATGCAGAACACCATGCACAATACAATGCAATGCAGAAAACCAATGTATAATACACCGGCACACTGCTGAACATTAGCAGCTATAGGAGGTACAACAAATCCCAGCAATAATACATTATACAGGCTGTTTAATGTATTATTGCTGGGGTTTGGTGTTCCTTTATAGCTGCTAATGTTCTGCAGTGATGGACTACAATCTCTAATACAAATTAATAAACTACACGTGAGATTGCAGTCCATCACGGGAGCAAGCTTGGAGCGGTGGCTACTTTACAGCACAACACAGGGACCATGGGGAACAAAAGTAGCTACCCTTCAGATGGAAGGACAGTGTCGGCACAAATTCAGAGATGGTTTGAGGATCCACAGCTTGAGTGATATACAAATAAGATACATTTTTGTTAAGTTTTTCTTAAAATTTAATCTATTTTATTTTGTAACATTCTCCAGTTTACATCATGATTCTATAAACACATTATACATAAACATTCATATACATCATCACCGTAATTTCATATCTTATGCAAAGACTATCCTACATTTATACACATCTCTTTTATCCTCCTCTTTAAAACCACTATCCTCCCTCGCACTATCTCCCCCCTCCCTGGTCCAGAGAAAAAAAAAAACACCATATATATATGGCTTGCATATTTAAACTTTAAATCTAGATCGCTATGAAATATATATAAGCTTCTATCTCTAATGAACTTGAGAAGTCTCTCCATGGCTTCCACCTCTCCTCAAACTGGGTGAGTCTATTATGTAAGCATGCTATAAGCTCCTCTATTCACATTATAGAATTTAGTTTACTAACCCACTCACGTATCTGAGGAGCTTTGGATGACCTCCGATGCCGAGGTATTATTGCCCTGGCTGCTTCGAGTATGGGACATACTAACCCCCTTTTTAAACCCTTTACAGGACCATTTTTGTTAATAGTTAGGGTACTTGAATGCATTTTTATGATTTAACTCCTGAGTTTAGTGTCACTTTACTGTTTGGTATAGTGGGAAAATTAAAAACAAAAACAAAAAAAAACTGACAGGATTTTATTGCTGTCTGGGGCTCAAAATAAACAAAAAAAAATAGGATTTTTGTACTCACCGTAAAATCCTTTTCTCTCCGTTCATTGAAGGACACAGGCAACAGATCGTAGATCCTGAATGGTAGGGTAATATCGCCACCTGCAGGAGAAGGACGCTAGGCACAAAACTAAAGACCAATTACAGCCTAGGGGCGGCCCCTGCCGGTGGCCAAACCCCCCACCTGCTGACAAGTCTCCAGTTTAGTAACAAGCAGTTAGGAGTGTACACCCCATAAAGAGGGCGGGGCCTGTGTCCTTCAATGAACGGAGAGAAAAGGATTTTACGGTGAGTACAAAAATCCTATTTTCTCTCCCGTTCATTGAAGGACACAGGCAACAGATCGTAGATCCTGAATGGTAGGGACGTCACCAAGCAGTAACACACTGAGGGATGGGCAACAACAAACAAAACACCCAAAAGACCCCTCAAAGCGCCGCCTGCAACACTTTGCGCCCCAAACCAGCATCCGCCGATGCTCACACGTCCACCTTGTAGAACTGAACAAAGGTGTGAACAGAAGACCAAGTAGCGGCCTTACAAACCTGAGAAACAGAGGCCCCGTGGCGGAAAGCCCAGGAAGCCCCAACAGCCCTAGTAAAATGGGCAGTGACAGGAAATGGAGGCTCACGCCCCTTAACGGCGTACGCCTGAGTCACAACAGTACGTATCCACCTAGAGATGGTAGCCGTCGACGCGGCCCGACCCGTACGATGCAAAACCAGCAATGGGGACTGCAGGACAAGGCTGCCAACTCCGACACCCGCCGAACGGAAGAGATGGCCACCAAAAAGGCCACTTTCTGTGACAAAGATACAAACGGAATCTCCCGTAGAGGCTCAAACGGGGATTCCTGCAACACTGAAAGCACGAGATTCAAATCCCACGGAACCAAAGGCGCACGGACAGGGGGAGCAATGCGTGTCACCCCCTGAACAAAGGTGCGAACCAAAGCATTAGACGCCAAACGCCGCTGGAAAAGCACCGCCAAGGCCGAGATTTGGCCCTTCACAGTACTCAAGGCCAGACCCTGAGCCACCCCGCGCTGCAGGAACGCAAGGATTCCGCTGATGAAGAAACGCGGGGACAGGGCCCCAGCCTCACACCAGGCAAAATAGGCCCTCCACGGGCGAAGGTAAATTCTTCTAGAAAACCGCCCTGCGCGCTCTGAGCATAGTGGACATGACCGCATCTGACAACCCCCAGCCACGCCGTCAAAGCCAGCGACTGTAAAGAAGGATGGAACACAGGATCCTGGGACAGAAGATCGGGGCGCAGAGGCAGACGCCACGGGACCCGCATGCAAACCCGAATGGGCGACCACTGGCGAGTCCTCAGTAGCCGGACCTTGGAACGGAGCTTCAGGAGCTTGTCCCGGGGAAGAAAGACCCGGGCCGCGACAGTGTCCAGAACCAAACCCAGATACTCCAGGCATGGTGAAGGCACCAGGCAAGACTTTCGCAAATTCAGAAGCCACCCGAACTCCTCCAAGGACCGCACAGTGATCCCCAGAGCCAAGCAGGTGGGGGGTTTGGCCACCGGCAAGGGCCGCCCCTAGGCTGTAATTGGTCTTTAATTTTGTGCCTAGCGTCCTTCTCCTGCAGGTGGCGATATTACCCCTACCATTCAGGATCTACGATCTGTTGCCGTTCAATGAACGGGAGAGAAAATTGCCTTTAACCTTTTCGAACAACTTTGGTCACAGAGGGCTGACATTTTTAGATTTCCAAACTGTATCAATTATTTTTGTAGTTTTGTTATATACACACACACACACACTATAATGCCTCAAGTATTGGGACACCCCTGCAAATCATTGGATTCAGGTGTTCTGTGAAATCTCCTTGCTACTAAATATTCCACGGTCAACTGATGTGGTATTACAACAAAGTGGAAGCAACTGGGAACAACAGCAACTCAGCCACAAAGTGGTAGGCCACTTAAAATGACAAGAGCAGGGTCAGCGCATGCTGAAGCGCAGTGGGCAGAAGTCGCCAACTGTCTGCAGAGTCAATAGTTAGACCTCCAAACTTTGTGTGGCCTTCAGATTGGTACAACAACAGTGTGTAGAGAGCTTCATGGAATGGGTTCCCATGGCCGAGCAGCTGCATCCAAGCCTTACATCACCACGTGCAATGCAAAGCATCGGATGCAGTGGTGTAGCAAACGCACTCATCAATTTGTCACCAGCTTTATAGCAAGGTGCACATGGAAGGGCTTTATACAGTACAACAGCAAAATGTTTCCTAGCACACTCACCAGCCAGCATGCCAAAAAAAACTTGTCTCACCGCTAAGGTTAAAAACAGAGGTTTAGATACACTTATTCTGCAGAAAATGTGAAAGCCGCACTGCCTCGCCAAGGTACCTCTATATAGTGCGGTCCTAACTCTAAACTATGAGAGTCTCCATCTTGGAGCACTTGTAGCAAAAGATAAAATTGGGTGCAGGTTTGTCAGGAGGAAGCCTAACCTCCCTTGAAGGCACAGGGACGCACAAGGGACTCCGCAGTGCAGCTTTCACATTTTCTGCAGCAGACGTGTTACTAAAAAACGTGTTTTAACCTTAGCGGTGAGACAAGTTTTTTGTATGCTGGCTGGCGAGTGTGCTGGGAAACTTTTTGCTGTTGTACTGTATAAAGCCCTTCCATGTACACCTTGCAGTAAAGCTGGAGACAAATTGAGGAGTCCGTTAACCATTTGTTTTGCTTGACTGATTTGGTGCAGTGACG